TGAGCTTCTCCCAAATCCTTCATTTGGAACTCAGTCACTAGCCACTTCTTTATGTCAGTGAGATATCCTACATCATTCCCAATGAGTAGGATATCATCCACATACAATACTAAGAAGACTACAATGTTGTTGACGATCTTCTTGTAAACACAAGACTCATCAACGTTTTGGTCAAAACCATAAGATTTGATCACAGTATCAAACCATATGTTCCAAGATCGAGATGCTTGTTTCAGTCCATATATGAACCGTTTAAGCTTGCAAACCTTTTGCTCTTGACCTTGTGCTATGAACCCTTCGGGTTGAGACATATAAATACTTTCTTCAAGATTGCCATTCAAAAAAGCAGTCTTGATGTCCATTTGCCATATCTCATAGTCATAATATGTGGCAATGGACAAAAGTATTCTAATGGACTTGAGCATAGCTATAGGGGAGAAGGTTTCTTCATAGTCCACCCATTCCCTTTGTGTGTAGTCTTTTGCCACAAGTCTCGCCTTATAGGTCTGTACCTTTCCTTCGGTGTCTCGTTTTCGCTTATAGATCCATTTGCACCCTATGGGTTTTACCCCGTTAGGTTGATCTACAAGTTCCCAAACGGAATTGAAGTACATCGACTCCATTTCCAAGTCCATTGCTTTGAACCATTTGTCCTCGTTAGTATCTTCCATTGTCTTTTTGTAGGTCAATGGATCCTCGACGCCATCATCAGGTATGACAACTTGGGTTTCAGTTAACCCCACGTAGCGGTCAGGTTGTGACATAATCCTCCAACTACGTCGAGGCACCCTCAATACTTGAGGTGGATGTGACTGACGTGATGTACTGGCTTCATCAACAACTCTTGTTGTAGTGCCAGTTTCATCAACAACTCTTGTTGTAGTGCCAGTTTGATCAACAACTCTTGTTGACGTGTTTGTAGCCTCTTTGGAAATCTCATTAATCACTACCTTACTCCATGGTTTATGATCTCGAACATGGTCTTCTTCTAAGAAAGTGGCATTTGTCGATACAAACACTCTGTTTTCTTGAGGATTGAAGAATAGACCACCTTTCGTCTCTTTAGGGTAGCCGACGAATATGCATACCTTTGAATGAGGCTCCAGTTTCTTTAGGTTAGTCATGAGCACGTGTGCTGGGTGTCACAACCATACTAGTAGAGAGTAGGTTGTGACGCCCACGTAGTGTGCAAGTGTCAGTGACAAGCATATGTCGCCCATCGGGCCATGACGAGAGCCGAGAGAGAAGTGCCGTGATGCGACCAAGGAGGATGGTGCATCACCTAACACACCATATGGATGTGCTTAAGAATTCCTAGAGAAGGCATATGCAGAATGCAAGGCGAAGGCAATGTCAGTGGTGTCGGTGACAAGCTCAACGGGGGCCAGTTGGGGCCCCCGGCCACGACCCTAGAAGTCGGGGTTCCGTTGAGAGTTTGGACGAGCGGCTTTAGAGTTAGATGCATATAAGTGAGATATGCAAGCACACCAAGTTTCGTGTCAATCGGAGTTCAGGCGTGCGCTCTATGTTAGCGAGTGACTTCTCGCCACTTTGCACGTACACTCCTGCCAGACCAATAATGCCTTAGAATGTACCTTAGGAGGAGGCATGGTGTTGGCTCTCCACCACCCCTGGGCCATGTCAGGGCCTAAGTGAGCCACCTCATGGCATAGGTGTGTGTCATGGCGAGGGCGAACGTCTACAAGACGAGTGTCTTGGGCGACTTCCTTTGAGGATAAAAAACTCGAGGACAGTGTCGGGCGACACGAGTGTGCCGGCATTGCGCCTTGATCCATGTGTTGGAGGTTGCACCACAAGGGTCCCTATGCGGGACGGTATGCTTGAACGACACAACACGAGCGCAAGAGTAGTCGTGCCTCGATAGTGTCCAAATGGCTGGATGTCCGGAAGGTCCCGATCATAAATACAAGCACATGAGTCGGTTCTCGGTATACGTGTCCAAGTGAGCAGTGAAGCCCGATGACATCCCGATGCTCGGGGTGACATCCTAAAGTACCGGTGGGCACCCGGTAAGTGAGAAAAAGCTAGTCTTGGCCCGGTAAGCGGCAAGACTCATCCCGGTTGCCAAGTTTAGTCATTCCTTGCCGGAAGTCGGCAGGAATCATCCTGGCAGTACCCGATAAGGCCGTTTAGCCCGTTATTGACTAGCTTCTCAGCAGGAATAGTCTTAGAGGTGTCTGATGGGCACGATAAGCTAGTTTTGACATAGTTAAGCGGCAGGAATCTCCCGGTTGTGCCCAGTTGGCATTTTAAGCTCGTTCTGACCTCGTTATGGGTCAGAACTCATCCCGGTAAGGTCCTGGCTCATTGTAGGAGTGGGACGGCCAAGTGGCCGAGAACCAAAATGGTTGAAATCAAGTTGCGACGTCGCGTTTAGAAGACCTTGGCCTAGAGTAGAGGCAAGGTAGAGCCGTGGGGCTTGGCCTAGTGTAAAGGCAAGCCTGCTAGAGTCGCGATAGAGTTTAAATGCACGTACAGGCGACGTGCATTGCGGAGACAAGTTAGAATTCTACTGCAAGTGAAGCTCGGTTGAGGGAGAAAGAACCTCGCCTAAGGTCCGACGAAGCCACAAAAGACGCGAAAAGTGGATTGGGACTAGAGTTCTCCGTAAGGCTGGTCATGGTCGAGCTTAGATCATGGCGCCGCGCGGTTGAAAAATATAGGACCGTGACACCAAGCATCCTTTCTAGTCGACCCTAAACGCCTATAATAAAGGCAAACTACCACAACCATCAAACAAGTAAAAAATCTGTTACTAAACTACTTAGGTGCTCTCTACTCTCTTTCTCTGAATACTAACTTGATCGTTGGAGAGTATTAGGCAGGGTACCAGTATCGATGTTGAGAATCGTTGTTGCAAGTTCATTTGTTCGACAGTCCACCGTTTCGTCTTCTTTTTAAACATGCAATTTCGGCATCAAATACCAGAATTTTAAAAGGGCATGATATGAAAGAAAAATTTACAAAAAGCTTAATCACTTAATTAGAAAGATGTACTACGATCTGATATGATATGATTTGATATGAGTGTTAGATTTTCCATTATGATTTGGATTGTATTTGGTAGATCATATTATTAGATATATTTGAATTAAATTTATGATTAGAAATTATATTATTTGATTCAGATTTTATATTCTTATTATGATTATAAATTGGTGGTTAAATTGGTATGAATGAGAAATTCAATTCAATGAAATCATATTTGGTTATTCTTCCGATTTTCTCTCATCTCTAAAACTCTATATTGAAAAAATAAATATAGGCATTTGTTCCAAACTGAATGTTAATATTAAAGAACTCAATAAAACTGCCAGCGACAAATGGTCGTTATGTAAGCAAAATTACTCGTCAACCCATATTTAACATCAAACAAAGTTCTATACAAAAGTGGTCGAAAGAAGGACAATATATAGCCAATTTGGTCTCAAAAGTGAGACAATCCATGACATTGCCAAATGACCTGTAACAAGTTCGTTATAAGTACGAGAGACTCCATGCCACCTTTGACCTTGCTCCAAATTATGAAAGATTTAGCTTTATTTATATTGATCGTAAGTCAATAAAAAGAGACACTTTAGTATCGTTCTATTGATGGAATTTTATTTATAACCAACCTATGATTATTTCATTCCAAAAAGAACATTATCTCTAACCTATTTAAGGGTACGTTTGAGGGTGCGTTATGGGAGGAGTAATTTTGAAAAAAAAATTTAAATATAATTAATTTTTCAAAATTACCATGTAAGTGATACCTTAAAAATCAATATCTATAATAATTTTAAAGTTTTAAACTTTCATAAAATCAATTTTTTAATTTGCATGATCAATAGAAGGGGAGTGATTTTTACTAGTAAAAGTGATATTAACCATGTTAAAATCATTTCCTAACACGCCCTAAATCATGCCATAAACTGTTATTATTTACTTTATCAATTCTATTTATTTGTATTCAATTTTTTATAGGTAGGTTGTTGCAATATGGACCACTCGACTGAAAACACGTCTATAAACCTCAATCCTAGTAGGCAAAATCACTAGTGATCAATTTAACAGAAGCCTTGTTTGATACTGATCATTTGGGAAAAGTAGATGTCGCCAACATAAAATACGCTAACACCAGTTACATAATGTCAGAGTGACAACACTACACTCCCCAAAACTCCCATTTTGGACTCCTATCTTCACAAAGGTACATAGTTTCTACGCCTAACTAAGTTCACCTCAACATCAACTCAAACTAAAGTTCTAACTTAAGTTTTGTAGTATAAGTGGCTGAACACTATACCGATGCAAAGTTAGGTGTGCAGGGTACTCATCTCAGCTAACCAGGCATCCACCTCAAATACAATGTCGGCTGATAATCTCGTATGGAATCCTAAACATTAAAAAAAAAATTACATCTTGAATTTTAAGTTCTTTTGATTCTAAAAACTTATATCAAACACATAAACCAACATACATATTAATTAGACTAAAGCACATACTAGATCGACCAAATCAAGGTGATTAGTTAATCTCACTCTCTTTGAGTTCAACAATTATGGGTTGGTTATTGAACCATTGTTCTTCGATATGATAATAGATGTCTTATTCAAGTTATGACCAAAATCAACTACTTATTAGTTATCACCTTCCTCGAGATTTAAGATTCTATCTTCTAACCACAATCATTGGAGTAAAAAAAATAAATAAATAAAAATAAAATAAATAAAGAAGGTTAAACTTAATTGAAAAAAATCCCTCAACCCCAACCAATCAACATGTTTAATTACTAACACACCTTTTAATTTAATTTTCTTTAAAATATTAATTTCCTTAAATGGTTTGGTTTTTTTTGACAAATTCATTAGGCGACCAACTTGCCCTACTTTTTTTTTTAATTCAATTAAAGAAGAAATTAGAAAAAAGAATAATAAATAAATAAAACAAATGAATTCCTCAGGAGCTTCCTATAAGTTTCCCATTTTCCCCCTTTCTTCTTCCTCTTTCAAGCCTAGACCAAAAAAACCAGAGAAAGAGAGAGAAGCGGAGGAGAGAGAGAGGAGACAGAAACAGAATTTGCAGGAGAAAACGGAGGAGAACTCGCTTCCTTAACAATCTCATTTCATTCTCCTTCCTCCTCCTCTTTCTCTCTCTCTCTCTCTCTCTCTCTCTCTCTCTTCAGACCCTACTTAAAGAATCGGCCTCCTCTTCCCCTTTCCACAGAGACTTTTGATTTGCAGCTGTTTTCACCATGATCTCCTTGAACAGAACCACTTTTCTGGTATTCCGAATCAGACCCAGTTTTCTGATCCTTTGTTTTTTCGCAACATTTCCATGCTCCATCTTCTAAATTCCCTTTTCTTACTTATATGAACTTCCGATTCATGCTGTTTTGTTTTAAGTGGATTTTTCTGATTTGTTCGATGTTGTTGATTCTTTCTTTTCAGACCCAGATGGGGGTTTCTGGGGCTTGCTCCACTCCATCCGGCAACGGCAGACGGCGGCCGGCGGCTCTGAAGGTACTGTCGATGGACTCAAATGGTCGAGCCGGCGAGCGAGGGGGGAGTGTTGTGGTGGAGAACAACACTGTGAAAGAAATTGCGAAAGCTCCGTCGCCGGTGGTCGAGGTGGAACCTAAATCCACCGCCCGGGGTTGGGCTCAGGATGCGTACGTTGAAGACGCCGCCGCCACGGAGGAACAAATCATGACACCTTGGAGCGTCTCCGTCGCAAGGTGAAGATCACGATCGCCATATTTTCGAGATTTAATTGTGTAATTTATTGACCTCCTTTTTTTAACTTTTGTGGCATCATAATCACAACCATTGTTTATTTTTAAACATTATAAAAGTTAACCGACTGCATCATATCATATTCGAGTTGAATCCCAATTGATATATTGTTGGCCTTTTCCTTTTTGGGGTTCTTTTTCAATACTCTTAAATGTTTACTTAATTTTATATCTTCTGGATTTTTGGATTGTGTGTGCTCAACCTGACTATTGATGAGTGATGACTGAAGCTGTTCTTACCGATCCAAGTGAATCGTAATTTATTTTTTGAAATTAGTAGCTTTGATGATTTTTATAACATATTGTAATGATCCAATTTGCAGTCAGTAAAAACCAGAGGATTGCCATAATTTTACCCTTTTTTGGAAAATAATAAGAACCATGTAGTCCATTTTTATCTCTTCTGGCGTCGAAAAGGATTGGCATTACTTCGGGTTTGGGATTGTTTCCTTGGTTGCATAACCTCCTCCTTCATATCATTTCAAATCTATACAGCGATCGATTATAAATTTCGTAACGGAATGATGTTTTTTCCATGATCCTAGTCCTTTGTTCTTGATAATTCACTAGAGTAATAAGTTATTTGCGGGAGTTTACATGCCTTATAGTTGCTAAATTGTGATTTCCTGCTGGACTTATTTTTATTATGGATTTCGATTTGCAAACCTCTGAGAATTTTTTTTTTCCAGTTAACATGTCACTTCTGCTTCTTTTTTGCTGTTCGTTCTTTCTAACCTTTCAGAGCTGATTTTTTCCCCTTTTTTTGGTTGTTTGCATAAACTTTAGTGGGTATAACTTATTGCGAGACCCACGCCATAACAAAGGGCTTGCATTTACTGAGAAAGAAAGAGATGCTCACTACTTGCGCGGTCTTCTACCCCCGACAGTTGTTGCTCAAGATCTTCAGGTTATCCACTCACTTGAGATACTGTTGAAGCCCATCACAAGTTTTACAATCTTAGTTTTTGATCATGGAAACTATTTGAAACTACTTTCCAGGTAAAGAAGATGTTGCACAATATCCGTCAATATCAAGTACCGTTGCAGAAGTACATGGCAATGATGGATCTTCAGGTAGCCATCGTTGATCTCATTTTTTTAGTATTAGGACTTTATGATTAGATTTTTTTGGATTTCATGATCTTGAATGAACTTTATGAACCTCATTTAACCAAATAAATTGGTGGAACTTATTTATTGATAAATTCAACAATTTGTTCTCTCTCTCAATTTATACTTTTATGATCAGATTCAGCACATTATATCTTATACACGACCTTTGCTGTACCCTTTTTCAGGAGAGGAACGAAAAGCTGTTTTACAAGCTCCTTATTGATCATGTAGAAGAATTACTGCCAGTTGTCTATACTCCAACCGTGGGTGAAGCTTGCCAGAAATATGGAAGCATCTTCAGGCAACCACAGGGTCTTTATATCAGTTTGAGAGAAAAGTATGACTGATTGAGTTGTTTCGAGTTTCTAGATTCTGATCCATTTCTTTCTTTCGTTTTTGTGTTGAAATGTTTGAGTTACTTTTGCAGAGGGAAGATCCTTGAGGTCTTGCGGAATTGGCCTGAGAAGAATATTCAAGTCATTGTAGTAACTGATGGGGAGAGAATTTTGGGGCTAGGGGATCTCGGATGTCAGGTTAATTCCGCTGAAACTTGTTAGAAGTATTTTGAATTATCCACTGAAGCTTGAGATTGAACTACAAACTCCCCGTCTTGTCTGTTGTGGTACCTAATGATGCTAACACAGAGCAAATCCATGTAATGTTTCAGGGGATGGGCATACCAGTCGGGAAGCTCTCTCTATACACCGCACTTGGGGGTGTTCGTCCTTCTGCAGTGAGTATCGATACAGCCTGTACTATTCTTCTATAAAGCTGAACTAGACATTCATTCTTAAGTTTAGGACACACCATAAAAATTTTAAACACCAAGACTTGAGTTTGGTGGAAAACAATAAAGGGCATTTGTACTTATCTCAACCAATGCTTGTTTTCCGAAATTGACCTTGTTTGCTTCATTTGTTTTTCTTGTTGGTTCACTATCTAATTTATCGGTTTTCTCAGTGCTTGCCCGTGACCATTGATGTCGGTACAAACAATGAGGAGTTGTTGAATGATGAGTTTTACATTGGTCTCAGGCAAAAGAGAGCTACTGGACAGGTTTGTGACCCTCTTCCTTCTCTCTCTCTCTCTCTTTAGCCAATGTATGTTACATTAATATTTTAATGTGGCAAGTCTAATTTATTGCATTCGAAGCTTAAGTGGGATGACTTTTCTCAATGTAGGAATATGCTGAACTCATAGATGAATTCATGACTGCGGTAAAACAGTGTTATGGAGAGAAACTCCTCATTCAGGTATGTTGCTCTTCTAACTACGCATACTTTATTCTGTGTAGCTGATCAAATCTAGTTCCTTTTTAATTATTCTTAGATTTTTCTAATTCAATTTCCACGTCTTGAAGTTTGAAGATTTTGCAAACCACAATGCATTCGACTTGCTAGCAAAATATGGTGCAACTCATCTCGTTTTTAATGATGACATTCAGGTTGGCCTTGAACTTTTGATTTTACTCTTTGATTAGTTTCAATCATCTCTGATATAATTGCCATCGTTGAATCTCAGGGGACAGCATCTGTGGTCCTTGCTGGGCTCGTTGCAGCTTTAAAGTTTGTCGGTGGATCCTTAGCTGACCATAGGTTTTTGTTCCTTGGTGCTGGAGAAGTGAGTCCATATCGAATCATGTCTAACATCTTAAATGTTCCTCCTAATTTCAACAAAATATATTGACTTTTGGGGTTGCCTTGGTGGTTCAGGCCGGTACTGGAATTGCAGAACTCATAGCCCTTGAGATATCAAAACAGGTTAAAATGAATACTCGTTTTTAAATTATAGACTTTCAATCCTACTTTGTTCGAATTCATTAGTTTTTGTCATATTAACTAACAAGAACTAGTCCTTTGTGTAGACCAATGCTCCATTGGAAGAAACGCGCAAAAAAATTTGGCTCGTGGATTCTAAGGTAACTTATTCATCAAGCTCGGGGATGTCATTCATAAAGTTTTTTGAGATTTCATTTCTGATTATTTATTTCTTATTTTCCCTCAGGGGCTGATTGTAAATTCTAGGAAGGAAACACTCCAACATTTCAAGAAACCTTGGGCTCATGAACACAAACCTATTAAGAAACTTGTAGATGCCGTGAAGGTGTTAAATCTAACCTCTACAAATGCGTATACATAATTTGAACAGAGGCTTAAGTTTCTTTGTTTACTGTTTCACATCAGGAAATCAGACCAACCATCTTGATTGGAACATCAGGCGTCGGAAGAACATTCACTAAAGAAGTTGTGGAGACTATGGCCTCAATCAATGAGGTATGTAGTCCGTCTTACTGATAATTTATATAGTTATTTGTTACAATCAGAAGAATGTATGCTGATCATGATCTGTGTTGTTGCAGAAACCTATCATTCTCTCTCTTTCCAATCCTACTTCGCAATCTGAATGTACTGCTGAAGAAGCTTATAAATGGAGTCAGGTAATACAGTGTTTCGATCTCTTATCGTCACAGTTGTATCATGGGGCAATGGAAAGGGTGTAAAATGAAATGTTATTTTGTATGATCTTGATCGGTTGTTGTGTTTCAGGGTCGTGCCATTTTTGCTAGTGGTAGCCCATTCGATCCAGTTAAATACAAGGGCAAAGTCTTTGTGCCTGGCCAGGTCCTTACAATTCAATTCTATTCTGTCTAAACAAAACATGTATCATGATTTGGGTGTTAATATTGTTCCTTGGTAACTTATCTTTGACAAATCAGGCAAACAATGCTTACATCTTCCCTGGATTTGGTCTGGGGTTAATCATGTCGGGCACAATCCGCGTTCACGACGACATGCTTCTAGCAGCCTGTAAGTACTCAAAAGCTTATAGTTTCAGAGCACAATAGTAGAGTGTCTTAGAGACAATGCACTTATTTTCAAAGCTAAGATGGAGCATAGTGCATAGATACATTTAAGTCGTTTTTTTTGGGGTCGGAGTCAGATTTTTCCCAGCATATTGATGTACTTGTTTGTTATGAACAGCGGAAGCTTTGGCCTCACAAGTGACCCAAGACGACTTCGACAAAGGACTCATCTATCCTCCATTTACCAACATCAGAAAGATTTCAGCACATATTGCTGCCAGTGTAGCTGCAAAAGCTTATGAACTTGGTCAGTCTTCAACTTCTTTTACCCTTTCTCAAACTTTTCGTAGAGTTTCAATTTGATAATCATTCTCCCATTTCAAATTCTGTGTCATAGGTTTGGCCACTCGCCTTCCTCAACCTAAAGATCTGGAGAAATATGCCGAGAGTTGTATGTACAGTCCTAGCTACCAAAATTACCGGTAGATTAGCCAAGTCTCTCTGCAGTAGCTATATCGTTGTATCGTTCGTTTATTTACCGATAATGTATGTTCGATTTTGATTTATTTTACTTTCTTTTGTTATGTAAGTTAGTTGGTGGTTTAGAAATCAGCTATAGTTTGTATTTTTTGTGAAAAAAAAAAAGAAAGAAAAAGAAACTCTTACAAGTTTTACATGAAATGGAATGGAAACTTGTGCTTGAAATCTGAAGTGGATTAATGATTTGTTGAATGAGATTTATGTGTAATTCAAAGCACTAGACAAAAACTATCCACTTTGCTACCATTATTTCATTCAATTTTACTATTATTTTATTTAACCGCATGGATTATAATATTGTAATGCCATCTTAAGGCATAGAATAATCTTGTAATCTTCTACCAGAATTTTTCATTCCATTCATTGTCGATGAATTAAAAAAAAAAAAAAAAAAGAACAGAGAAGTGTATAATTGTAATATAACATCTCTTAAGGATATTTCGCAAACAAGAAGATTTTCCTTGAAATTCAAACGTTAAAATTGTAGGACAAATGTATAATGCTTTAACGATTAATGTTTAGGTTGACACATTTCTCTACTTAGAATTTCATGTTTAGTCGGTGTATATTGACTTCGACATGTTAGCGTTCTTAGCTCGAATCATATAGTATAAAAATTGCCTTTCATTGAGCAATTTTTCAACCCATATATACTAGATGGTACACTTGATACTTTTTTTAAATAGTAAATAATGACACTTTGTAAAAGTTTGTAATGGATGTCTTTTTCTAAATTAGAGGATGGATGGTGCTTCATTAAAATGGAAGAAAAGATGATATGTTTTTAAATATAAGAATAGATAAATCAATTTTTTAATGAATAATACTTGTCTTCTAATTGGTCAGGAGAAAGAAATGTAACCGTTTGAGAAAAAAAAAATCTCTTTTATCCCTCTCCTTTTCTACCTTTAGAATCAGTAAAAAGATAAATATTATTGTTTTTAAATATAGAATGAATGACTTTACTTTTGCTATTTTGCGAACATTAAATAGGCAACACTATAATAAAGAATAAAATGACACTTATTAAGAAGCCAAACTACGACACTTAGAATAAATGATATTTTTCAAAAACAGACAATTAATTTTAAGTAGATTATAGATTATTCTTTTTAAACAATAAAATAGAAAGTAGATGCCATTTTGTGAACACAAAGAATAAATTATACTTTTCTAAAAATATTAAAGTGGAGAATATATGTCATGCTTAAACCATAGGATTGATGATTTTTTCTTTAAACAGTAGAATGTATGGTTTTTTTTTTTTTTTTCTTTTTGAAGATTTGAACATTTCACGTCAAAAAAGGTGTATGTGAGTCATAAGCTATATTTATTTTAGTGTTCTAAAAATCATTTTAGTTTAAATTTTAAATTTTTATAAGTAATTTAATTTTTCTTTAAACAATTGAAATAATATATGTTCTACTTGTTCTACTCATTTAATAACCGAGTAGATTAAATTACATGAATAATATTTGAAGTCGTGTATTAAACCAAATGCCTAAGATTTTAGGTGTCTAACATTTAAATTTTGTTAAACAATTTACAAAAGTTTACATCATAACATGAATAACTTTTTATAGAAAACATTAAGACTCGTTTACTTACACTTCCATTCTCTTTGATAGTATTTACGAAATTGTAGGAATAGAATCAAATACTGGAACTATCTCAAACTTTGTAATCTCATTTGCTAAAAGAGTGTAATCATTACACTCCTATGACCCATCAATCTAATAATATATATTATAATTAATTTACAACTTAAATTAACTAATTTAATTTAAATATTAAACATTATTAAGATATTCCATATTAAGATGGTCCATTCGTTTAATTTAAATATTAATTTATAAATTATTATTTTTAAATACTAGAATAATAAAATTTAATAATATGTTATATTAAATTAGGGTGGTTCAAATTAAAAAAAAAATTATTTGATGTAATTTTATTTTAATTATTCATTATTTATTAACATTAAATAAATTGTTATGATAAAAATATTTACTACCAATAATATAGTAATAAATTAAATTAAAATTTATTATTATTTTAATTAAAAATAATTAGCACAATAATTTATTTGTAATTAGCTAAACATGAAAAAAGAGTAAACTAGTAATTGCTATTTATCTGATTCCGATTCTGATTCCGGATAGTTTTAGCAAACAACATCAAAGAAATTCTAATTATAATTCGATAAACTTTTTAGTGAACAACATCAAAGGAATAACATTTTCATTACAGTTGATTTCATTCCGATTCATTGCCCTTGCGATTGCGGTAAAGGTAAGTAACTATAACCTAAGATGTAAAATAATAGAACATTCAAAAAGTTCAAAAATCAATATTCAAATTGCAAATGTAAGCTACTAATTATGATATTATAACCTCTCCTCTTGTGAGAAATATTAGAATTTTTACTTGCAAGATATAAATCTAAGCTTCCTTCTCGTTGGGTTCTCTGGAAGACACAAGGTAATTAACCTTCTACTACACCATTTCAAGTTTCTCTATGTATTTTTTACAAAATTGTCTTCCAATTTACCTTCAAATTCACGAAACATTTCAGTTGATTATTGTTCATCAGTATCTTACTAGGACTTTAATTGGGAGGTTCAAATCTCATTTTCCTCCGACTTTTAAAGAGTTTTTCAATTTTAGTTCAAACATTAGGAAAGTAACTATTTTGATCTCATTTATGTATATTAATATGCTGATATGAGCATGGCTGGCAATGTAATTGAACAGATATTAATGGTAGGAAAACACTAAATTGGTAAGTTTTTAAAGTTCAAAACTAAAATTAAAAGAAAGATAGGTGAAAGTTGAGAGTAATACCTATCGACGGTCATAAATTTTGGAGTTAGTTAGTTACTCTAATTTCCCATCACTTTTGTCCTAGGAGTACGGTCATAAATTGGCGTGTCGTCATGTCCGTGTCTGTGTTTCTGTACATATCAATTGAGACCGTGCTTCCAAAAATACATCAAGAGTTTACATAAAGGTTGTTACGGCTTTACATTGAGTGAGTGACAGTTTATGGGTCTGATTAGACTAAATTTTATCCATCGATTTGCATAAGCTCTAAAGCTCTCAAACTTAGCTGAAAAGTTCCCAATCCCGCCACCACAAAACAAAAAGAAGAACAAACCATTTCAGAATCTGAATCGCCACTCTGATAAGAAATTCCCTTACCAAAATAATATGTCATTGTCTATAGAAGGAAGGAAGGGTTATATCAATGTTAACAGTGGGATTCTAAGCTAAGGACTACAGGAGACAATGATGTGAAAGGGGAATTTCAAATTATGAAATCATATTCTCTATCTTTTTTCCTCCCACCATATAAAAATGCAGATGTGACTGCACTTTCTTCTGGAAGGAACATGAGAAAGTGCATGGCAGAAGAATAGCAAGAAACTTTATCATAAAATTTTACCATAATCAGAACCATTCCTGTCTCTAACAAGTAACAATTAACTGGACAAGTTACATGCTTAGAGCTTCAGATGAGAGAGATTTTTGCTATATATATTGAATACTTCCTCTCTTGGTTATTTAAGGACTGTTCCTTCTGTCATTGAAGAGTAAGAGACTGTAATATGTCTATTAGTTTGCACTAATGATATTCTTGCACTGTCTATCATTAGTGTTTGCATAGAATCCTAAAGTTGGGTGCGTAAAGAGGCGAAAGGCACTAAATGAAGGTATATTCTTATTGAAACCTAAATTTGGCATGTCCATGGAATATTGCTACAAATGATTATGGAATCTGGTAATTTCTTTTGAATTTCTGTAAACCAGGGGGAATATGATAGCCGCCCTCTCCTACTGCGTCTATCTCTCGAAGGCTCAGATGCTAACAACAAAAATCTGGTCTAGATGCATTGCAGCCCTCTTTTCTTCTTTCTTCTCTCTCGTTTCTCCTCTATATAAACCTCTGGGTCCTAACCATTATGTAACTAACTTAACTGATTGGTACTCCATAATCTTCATATCCTATCCTACTCTGTTTCTCCCTTTGACATTTTTTTTTAAGATGGAAAGGAACCAGTTGTTGAGGCAAATCAGCAGCATGAGACAATCACTCTTTGATCAGGTCCTTCTCCCCAGACCTTTATCTTACTTAAGCATCCATTTGCCTTCAAAAAAATTCCTTTTTCTTCTTGCTTTGAAAGGTTTCGCCTCTGATAACAACTTTACCACTTACTAGCTTAAGTGACTTTATCAAGCCACTTCTTCATCTTTTATGAAATCTATTGATGTAAAGCACTAAAATTTTCTTTGGACCACCGTAGTACTCTCCAACTTATTGACATCATACCAAAGTGTATGTATTCCATGCACTATAGTCAAAACTCTACCTATATTCTTTTTTTTATTTATTTATCCGTGAGTCTTGAGACAACTTGCGCTCACCTTAATTATCTTATGGGATAACCATGTGACTCTAAAACACTTGACTGCTAAAGAAACTTATAGGATTTTAAATCCTACGAAAAGAGTTCTAAGAAGTGAAAAGTTAAAAAGATTTTCACCTTACTATGACAATAATGTTAACCTTAATTATACTAAGAGCTTAGGCTTCAACTGTAAATGGTGTAATATGACATACTGCCCTCCCTTCCTCCCTTCATTGCCCCATTTTATAACCTCAACTGGAAATTCAGACATTGATCTCTACAGGGATTCCTTGATGAACAATTTCTCCAGTTGGAGGAACTGCAAGATGATGCTAACCCAAATTTTGTTGAGGAAGTTGTAACTTTATGCTACCGTGACTCATCTAGATTAACCCTGAAATTGGAGCATGCATTGTAAGTAAATTTAAAACATCAAACTCTCTCCCTTGTTATGCTTTTTAGAGTACGACCACCATTCTAACGAATTATTTTCAGTGCAGACAGAAGACCCCCCTAGACTTTAAACAGTTGGATAGCTCTATGCAACAGTTCATGGGAAGCAGCTCAAGGTAAAATCTAAAAGCAAACAAAAAAAAGATTAAAAAAAAAAGGATAGTAATAACAATAAAATATTATCATAAAGTTAAACTATATTCTCTGTCGGCTTTAATAAAAACATGTTCTGTTTTCGATAATCTGTTTCTGAATGGATACAGCATTGGAGCAAAAAGAGTGAAAGCTCAGTGCACACTGTTTAGGGAATACTGTAAGGCTGGAAGTGGGGAAGGGTATAATTTTTTTTCCTAACCTCATCATGATCACACACCACTAAGATTATTATTCTGATTAACCTGCGAGCATATATACTCGTTTTCTATACTGATTCTGATAGCTTTTGTAAATGTGTAAAGATGCCTTAGGACTTTCCAACAACTGAAAAAAGAACGTGCAGCTCTGAAAAAGAAGTTTGAATCATACTTTCAGGTTTGTATCTCTCCCCAAAATCCCCAATTTTCTCTTATGAAATGACAAGAAGAAGAAGAAAATGTTTGGAACTTTCCTAATATTTGTGTTATTTTCTGAGCAGCTGAAAAGGCAAGCTGGTCCAAGTCAAACTGCGAGTCGTCCCAAGTAAAGAATGATGGGCAACCGAAGGCCAAGGCTTCAAATTTGAATCGTTACATTTCCTAGCATGCTTATGGAAAATCAAACATATAAGGTGGCGTAGTGGGCTCTGAATGTAATGATTTCAATTTCAGAGCTATGCCTTCAATTACTTTGTAAATGGAAGTGTAAGCAAGTCTTTGCCTCTTTTACAATGTCGCTCTCCTGATTGTCCATCAGCCTAACAAAATACGATTCTTTTGAAATATCAGGGACTATTTGGAAAGGTAGAGATGAATCTAAAAAAATGACAAAAGCTAAGATTAGATGTTACCAATAATAGTGTGTAGATGGTATGCATCTCTAATCCGAGCTGAGAGGTTGTCCAACATCGACAAACTTAAGAGAAAATTAAACTTGACAAGCTTAAAAGTACAGGTGTAAATCAAAATAAAAAATTCCAAAGCTCCTTTGGACTTTCACTTTCTTAACTTTTGTGATGTGAAGTACAAAATTCATCTTGTAATGCCTCGCTAATAGACTCGAAATGATCCTTGATGTGGTTATGGCAAAGAATCGAAGTGTTTTTGTCCTTGATGTGGGCCTGAAGAGAATTTTAATGGAGACAAACAGATTGCCTGCAAGTCAAGATTTGATTCAATGATTTTGTTCCCTCAATACTTTTGAAGGTGGCTTAATTATTCAGGACATCAGGCATTTAGCTTTTAATTTTGATATTTTGTCCCTTTATTCTGCGAAAAGCATAATTTAAATTATATAGCTGATTTCGTGGCTAAGCAAGCTGATGGTTGCTTTTCTTGTGATGCCTCCTTCATTACCTAAGTTTTTTTTTTTTCTCTTCTTTTTTTTGGGTAGAGTACATCATTACCTAGATAGCTGGAGTACGTGTAGGTTGGACTTTGGTTTGCTTTGGTGGCTAACGAATTTCCTTCTAAAAAAAATTAGCTAAGGTCTACATGAATCGACCCACTCATACATTTACTCAAATAAATTTATACTCATATAAAATGCTCAAAATACCTTTGGAACCTCGTTTACGTATGAACACAACAACACTAGGATGACTTGTACAACCATGGAAATACAGCTTTTCCTCATGCTTATGAACAAAATGTAGCCTATTATACACAGGCATTCTCTTGAGAAAATTCGTTTCCCGCATCATTACAGCCAATAGCATTATATGAACCTTTAAGGGTTAAAGGTAGTGAAGAGTCCAACTTGCAGGATTCTCTCTTTCTTCTGGTCATGGAATGCACAAGAACATCTGCTGCAATGCCGTTTGCGGTATTCACTTCCTAGTTGTATCAGTTCGGCATCTAATCACATGAAACCTCATCCAGCAAGTCCAGGAAACCTTTCTTTGATGTATTTCGAAGAGTCTGATTAGAACGAAATGGATTAGCTGATGCTGCCTCGAATTTCATCCAGAGTTCTCTTTTAAGAGTCTCCTCGCCAGCTCGTTTGCCAGCCCGCAATACACTTTCGCATCCTTTCCACATGGGAGTGCTATCTACGTGCGACAAGCTAACCCCAACTGGATCTTTAAGTAAATTTATGTTAGAACCCGAAATATATTGAAAGATAAAAGATAAACGAACTACTACCGATTATTAGAGGTACTTGGACCCTCCCCTCTTGAGATATCATTCAAGCCTCAAACATACTCACTCAATTGGATACTTTCATTCTTACACCTCATTCTATTTATAACAACATTCCTGACAACTTTCCTATCTAATTACTAAGGTACCCTCGATACTCTAATAATATCCCTTTATTATCTGAAGGTCATTCCTATCAATCAATTTCTTAGTCAGAAGAGTATCACAAATGATACAAATTACAGGCCAAACACTATAATGATATTATTAAAATTATCTATGAAAAAACAGCATCTAAACTAATTCATGAACAGGACCGTATGGTAATTGACAAACAATAGTACCTTGGTGGCTGAAATTATTCTTGGTTTCATGACATCCATCAACATCATCAAATCCATTTAATACAAACGATTTCAGCTGCGAATTCAAGACCCGAGAAGTCACAGGAGGGTCGATATCACAAGCAGCATTTTCCACTGAATGAGAATCAGACGGCTCCAGTAAAACACATGTTTTTGGTGGTGACATAAACCAGTCTGGAGAGGCTTCAACCTCCTTCTTCCTAATTCCTGATTTATGAACCTGTTGAATTCCTAAGAGTTCTGGGTACTTCAAAGCCAGTCCATCAGAAGCGTCACTGCCAGAAGAAGAGTAATCATGAACTCCAACAGGAAAAGGTGTGGCCTTGTACAACCTTTTTTGGTCTTTGTGTGATGACTCTGAAATGGGTTCCAGCAGAACACAAGATTTTGGAGGCGACATTTTAAAGCATGGAGTCATAACTAACACAGAGCAATTGTTCTTTGATAACATTGGTGGGGAAGTAAATCCACCCTGACGAGTAATCCCCACTTGTGTTAAATTAGACCCAGAAGATTCGCCACCACCAGGCGCAATTCCATTACCTTCCAGCAGATTCTCGCCAACTTTTGTAAAATCAGACCCAGAGGGTTTACCGCCACTAGGCTCAATTCCGTTACCCTGGAGCAGATTTTCCCCCACTTTTGTTAAATCAGACCCAGAAGGCTTATCACCACTAGGCTCAATTCCATTACCTTCAAGCAGATTCTCGTTTGGATCTCCACATGAAATAAAACACGGTTGTGCGCCCGCGCCCTTGAATATACCAGAAGTCATTCCATTTACAGATTCAGAATATTTCACATGTTTCGATGAGAGTGATTTAGAAATAGGAAGAGGTGTGAGTAAAAACAATTGTCTTCCCCTCTCAATATTGCATCCAGCACGCCATGATACAAGGGGTGAAGGAGAAATCAGAGCTTGAACTTCAGCGTGGTCTGGGCTGTCAATAACGTTATCTTCCGTATCATTAACCAAAGCATTGCTTTCACAAGCTAAAGATTGTCCTATATCACCATTAGAACCTATTGTTGGATGAGAGAACGCCTTCTGAAACCTGGGGACCCAGGGCTGCATTTACGGAAATTATCCAGCACATGAGTTATCAGGATGAGTGGAGTTTCAATACACAATCAGGTACTGGAAGATTACCTTCAAAGAAGATAGCATATCAGATAAGACATGAGTGAAAGATTCGATCTCTTTCCTCCCTTGTTTGCCCATTTCCTTCAGTTCGAATGCTTTCACAACGAGTTCATCAATCTGCCAATCCAGTAAGGTAAGATGAAGCTATATGTACATAATATATCCTTCTTAACAAAAGAAACAACTTCTTTGTTAGGTCCGAATGAACTGTTTTCTGTTATGGAGAGAGTGTTGATAACACCCGCAAACAATGGTTTTCTACGCTGCAAATAATTAACATTACAGGATTTTGATATCCAATTTTCCTCTCAGCCTGTCTAATATCTTCGTGCAATTAGAGCACTCTTAAGAAACAAAGAAAACAAAAAGTTGCCAGCGTCAAACACACAGAAGCACTATGAAATACTAACTACATTGGTCAAGATTCAGGCAAAACGTGAGGCTAGAGATCAATGTACTCCAATGAAGAGATAAATCTGGCTGTTTATTATCCCCTTCCGCTTCCCTCAATGTTGAAAAAGAAATAAACTAAAATGAAACCAATCCGCACATGGAACATCAAGATGAATAGAATGAATTTTCACGCAGATGGTTGTGTTGGAGCGAATACTAATTCTCGACCATAGTAACATGGGAAACCACCGACATATTCAAATGGAGGAATATTCAAGAGAGGAACCTGGTGAGTGAGCGCGGAGAGATCTGACTGAACGAGTAGGAGGCGATCCAGAGCATCATCTTGCTCTTCAACCTTAGACCTGTTATCGCTTTCCTTTCTGTTGGCTGTAGTGACAGATTTGGAGGAATTTCTGCCCAATTTGTGGTTCGACACGTCCCTCAGAACCTTTCTCCCTGATTTCCCCATCATCGGCATCGGGTTCGCCGGCGGCAGCCTCCCCTTCGGAAACCTGCAAATGTTGCTGTCCTCACTTTTTGAATTTCTCTCCAATGGCGGGCATTTGCGTGCTTGTACAGTGTTATCGAGAATGAGACTCCATTGATGCCCAATGGAATGGGCCGCGCCCATTGGGCTTTCTTAAAACCTTTTTTTTATTCTTAAATATTCGTAAATATGTAATTGCAAAATATATATATATATATATTTTTTTTTTCTATAAATAAAAAAACGTAAATACTAGCTTTTTTTTTTAATACAAGATTTGAGTGGAGATTGGACTCGTGATCTTTTATCGGAGATATGCGTCCTTGATGACGTTCAGGTTGCATATTAATTAATAATTAAGGGTAACAACCACTCATTTTCCTTTATTTAAAATTTTCCATATCTACTTCTTTTAGCTATTACTTTTTAATTTTATTTCTTTTATTCACATGCTTTTCCAAGTAACAATAATAGAATGTAAGAGTAACATTATTTGTACAGTCTAGAAGAAAAAAAAAACTGTATGATAGATTATATGCTACAATATGATTAACTTTGAACCAATATTAAATTATAGATAGATCCAAAAGCTTACCGCTTATAAAATATGATAAATTCAATCATGTTATATAATCTTGACATTTTTCTATCATTTTAGTCTTTCTAAACAAACTAACTTAGAATCAACATAAGCATAGTTTAACAGTAATAAAATACCTATTGAATGTCGGGCATGAGAATGAGGTTTAAAAGACTTGTAATTCCTGGGCACTCAACTAAGTTGGAACCAGAAACTTTTGTTGATATATGGCTTATTCCTTGCCTTCCCATCTGTTTTTTGATTGAGTGCTCATTCAAAACAACAAAAATAATGTACATTTAATACTTTTCTCTGCTCGACTTTAAAACTTGCACCCTTTCTTTCTGCTTTGACTCCTGATGTCGGACATTCAAATAATTCAGCTTGAACATAATAAATGATGCATCCGTGGCCTTTAGAGAGAGAGGGGGGGAGTATTCAACATAATTGTTCTTTTCTTGTACTAGGAAAGCTCAAAAAGCTCTATATTAGCCCCATCCCGGGAATAGGAAGCGAACGCCACGGGCAAAAATTTACAGTGCAGCAATGTGGAATGATACCGCGTTTAAAAGCATTGAGTGCATTCGAGCTGCTGCTGCTTTACATTGAGGGAAGATGAATCAGTAGTAGAGGTTAAATGGGCTAAAAGTGAAGATGGCAAAGTGATGAGTTGAGCTGAAGTTGTTCCACAACTATCTTCCTTGGACAAGACCACTGAAAACTTGGCTGTTACCAGCCAGAGTCGCTTCCCACTCGACCGAAGACAGTAGGATCTGCGACAAGGATATTACGACCTGCTTCATGTCAGGTCGTAGGATGGGATCCTCATCTACACACTGCTTAGCCAACATGGCCACCTACCCGAAACCAAGTACCAAAACATCACAAAAGTAGAAATCAATAGCAGAATGAAAGAGAGAAACGTCAAACGAGAACCGACTCGATTGTTATACTTTTGAATATGTTTGAGAAACGTGTCCAAATATTCAATTTTCATTAAATGAAGATTTTATGGTTCTTTTTGTTTATCAGTTCTAATATTCAATCGGTTGTTGCAGAAACTCCAACATCTTACTTGTAGGTGCCAAACACTCTTTCTTAGCTATCCTAAACATAGAATGGGATGGAAACGGTTAATTATGTACCTTGAATAGACAGTCATGAGGATACAAATCCATCATGCTTTGATCAACTTGATCTTTCAGACTTGCCATATTCATAGGATCGGGAGAGTTTCGAAGAACAGCTAACATCTGCATTTATAGCAGACACATTATAGTATGCATCAAAAAGTTAGAGCACCAAATGCACATAGTTCTTCAAGAAAACTGAGACATACAAGATGAACCATAGTGGCAATTAGTTCAAAGAGCCCAACATAAGGCAGAAAATACATCAATCGATAATTGAACTTACAATGGATGCTAGCGATCGTCTTTCAGGATTTTTCATAGTTGTGCCCTCAATTCGTATAATTGCCTCCTTTCCAGATATAAGCTCAAAAAGAACAACTCCGAAAGCATAAACATCACTTTTGGTTGTGGCAAGACCGTTACTTAAGTATCTAAAATGAGTGAAGGTTAGAGAAAATAAGTTCAAAAGAAATTGTATAGAAATATTCAATTGATTGATTTATTTGTGCTACTTACTCGGGAGCGAGATAACCATATGTACCAACAACTTTGGTAACTGTAGCCTCACCTTCATTTGTTTTTCCAACAAGTTTGGCTAACCCAAAGTCAGAAATCTAAGTACAAAAGGGGAGGAGGATTTCAGTGAAAGGTAATAACCTAATTTGAATAGACTAGTGGGTGCTATATTTATCACCTTTGCCCTAAAAGAACCATCAAGTAAGATGTTGCTTGTCTTGATATCTCTATGGACATAATGAGTTTTAGTATGCTCATGAATGTATTCAAGACCTCTAGCAGCATCGAGAGCGATTTGGAGTCTCATAATCCAAGATAGTGACGTATGACCTGTAATTAAGAGACCGACATGAATATGAATAAGAAGCAAAAAAGTTCAATATACAAATGAACACGATGTGTTCAAGGATATATGCCTTAACCAGTTGAGCTTATACTCAGGTTAGCTTCTAATAGATTAATAGATTAACTAAAGCAGTGATATTAACAAAAATAAAAGCATTAGCATATGATTTTATCAGTTGAGTAAAACTGGAATTTTACCCTTGTTCATCGGATCATGTAAATGACTTTTGAGTGGACCTTTTTGAGCATATTCATAAATAAGAAAAAGCTCCTCCTCACTGGCTGCATAACCAATCAATTCTACCTTGAAAAATGTAAACCAAACAGAAGTCAGAAGTTTAGAATTGAGGAAGTCAATAAGCTTTTGGGAAGAAATACATCAGGATTTAAGAAAAAGAGATGATTACCAGGTTCGCATGATGGACCTTGCAGAGGACTTTCATCTCTGCCATAAACTCTTTAGTTTTCGTTGCAGTCATTCTTTTTATAGCAACTTCCTAAAACGTCAGATCCGTCGAGTAAGGTTGAGTCAACAAAACTTATTTCCATCATCCAGTAAAATCACTTGGAACATATCAAGGTAGTTAAGCCACAAACCTGGTCACGCAGGAGGCCATAATACACTGAACCATAAGTTCCATGGCCAAGTAGACTTGAATCAGAGAAACCGTCAGTGGAGGAAAAGATTTCTTCACATGAGAAAACCACAGGTTTGTCTACATCGAATACATTGCTTTCGATAGCTGCACAAAATAAAATATATGTAACAATTAGATATTTCTCAAATAGTTTAGCAAACTAAAGCTGAAGCATCTAAAATTTAATGAAATGTGACTTATTCCATTAATTGTTCTTCTAGATCCAGAAGAACGGCAAGCCTGGCGAAGTTATATGGCTTTAGTTTATTAAACAGAAACATAAAGCTAGAGAAAGTACATAACCAAGTCTGAACGCAAGAGAAGCATGCTCACAAGTCAACTGACCAATTAAAAAAAGCATGTCTTCTGTTTGGATCCTAGTCCCCATTTGTATCATCGGTTATATTTCGTACTTTATAGAATGGGAGGGGGATAACTGTGCAGGCAACCACATAAAGAAAATGGAAGAGCCAGAGGAAAATTTTCGCGACTATCACGATGTTAGACAACTGGGATTTCGCTACATTGTTCAAATATAAGTACTAGCAATTTCTTTAAAACTAAGCAAAGTATTACTATCTGAGTAGAAGTTAATGGGCCCTTCAATCAACCCAGGTAGCCAAATCAAGCCAAGAATACTCATCATTTATTGGCTACTGAGAGTGGAGAAAACAAAGACAAGAACTAAAGATGTACCTTTCGGAATTGCACTCTGGTTATCGCTAGATTCCCCATTGGCTTGTTTCCAATCTGCAGAAGTGCAACAAATATACCTTCCTGAAGCACAAAAGAAACTTGACTTCCCAAGAATGTGGAATTTGTGGGATGTCTTGCCACTGGGATCTTTGGAGTGGCTACTCCTAGGTCTAGAAAAGCATTTCAACCACCTGAAGCAAGCATAAACTACTATGCCTAGTAAAATCAGAATAAGAATAACTCCCAAACTTCCAACAATCCATATATAAGGAGGGTGACGCTTGGGGTTCTCTGCAATATCTGCAATTCAGAAGGAAATAGAGTCACAAGCCTTCATAAGTTCATAACAAGACTGGGCAGTAACTAAAAGGAAAGAGCTGTAAGGTAAATCCTTGAGAGGGACTTCATACTATTGATAAAATTGAAAAATAAACAGCAACAAACAAAGAAAATCCATAAGCAAATGACTTAAAGGATCAGGGACAACTATAGGCCCTCCTTCCAAATAGGGTGAAATTTGAAACTAATTTCGTTGTTGATGCTCTTCTTAGTTAGATTTCCCAAGTTAAATTTATTTCTAAAAGATCACTAGATATATCCTCCAGTTTGAAATTGGGTTGCCATACATGTCAGTAGATTTGACTTTACTCAAAAGCACACAACCGCCTATTTCAATATTGTTACCAGACAATTACATCAGCCACTTGTTGACTTTAAGAATGACGTCCTGAAAGTATGCAACAAGAAAGTACATGCTGTCTGAATGAGAGTGTCAAAGTTCTTAACACCCACCTGAGAAATTGTTTTGAGAAAATGAAGGGGCAGGGGCAGGAGAAATGTCTGTCTCCACAGGATAAGGATCGCCAGGAACTACAAATTCAAAAAGTTAATTGATAAACAACATTGTATCATAACCCCATAGAATTTATTTCAGAAAAAGAAACACTAACCCGAATTCAAGGGAATATAATACAAAGCACCCACAGTGACATTGTCAGGATTTTCAATTCCATTCACCGATTCAATGCTATCCATACTGACCCCAAATCGACTCGCCAAAGACTCGATGGTGTCGCCATCTCTCATTACATAGCTCATCAAATAGTTCCACAGCCCGCTCGAACAGGCACAGAACAGCCTCAAGGACACAACGGCGCCGTTTCTGGCCATTCGGGTCGTATTGGGCAGCAGGGCAAGGCCGTCGTACGCGTCCATGACCAAGTCATAAACATAGCCGCTATTCGATTTGATGGTAAAAGTTGTATTTGTTATGTATTTCTTCAACCCAGAGGCGCAGGAGCAGTTCTTCCTGATGAACACATAGTTCCGGCCATTGCCTTCGACGGTGACATCTTCTGGCAATACGTCGAACATACTCTGGATCACAGAGACGGTCTCATTAGGCTGTGGCTTGAAGGCCAAAAACGAGGAGCACAAGCGAGTTGTATCCGTACAAGTTAAGGGCGTGGGATAAGAGGAACAGAGAGAGTGATCTTGAAGAAGAATAGCCAAGTACAGAAGGAAGAACAAACTCCAAATTCGTACAGGATTCATTGACCAAACCATTGAATTCCAGCTACAAATTTGGCCGATAAAAGATAGTGAGCTCAACAGTCAATAACAGAAACTGGTGGGAGACAAAACTCAATCAAAATTCAGCAAAAAGAGAAAGGGGAAACTCAAACTCTATGTGGGTAAGTCAGAAAAAGAAACCCAATGAAAAAAAACAAGCAAGGAGATCATAATCTCTATACAGTGCGAGTTATATGAAAGAAAGGCGAAGACCCAGAAGTTGAATGAATGAACAAAGTGAGATTTGAACGAAACAGGAAGATTTGGAGCTCAAGAAGATGGGAAATGGACAAAAATGGAAACCCCAGCTAGAATTAGGAGAAGTTTAATGGTGGGGAAGGGAGAAGAGGAAGGAGGGAGAAGAAAATGAGCTGTAAACTCAGAGCTAAGGTGGTCTGAAATGATAAAACTGTAAACACGGCATTTGTTTTTGGGTAAAAAAGAATCAGTGATCATTCTGACTCTGGTAAACCCTCTTCTCCTGGAGCTCACACAGTGAGGAGTCAAGGCCAGAAAGTGAAAGTGATGACAAACAAGGGTTTTCCACAACCATACACAATGAAGATTTTTGACAACCAACTCCCTTTTTTCTTCTATCCCCAAAATACCCTCCCTTCCCCATTTGGGTGGAATATCCATTTCTTTACTTCACAAAAATATCAACACAACTATTAATATCTTTTTGGTTATTTCATACTTTTCTAATCTAAATCCTTTTATTTTCAATTAATATAAAGAAAGTATAATAATTATGAGTAAACTATAATATATAGCCTCCAACTTATATTAGCCTCCGACTTTGAGAGAGGGAAGTATATGTATCAATTACCGTTAAACTCTACAATTTAATTTAGTGATTAAAGCATCTACTTACAAATAATTGAAATACGAGTCTTCAAAGGTATATTTTTGTTGGATTTTTAAAAATTAATTATTTGAATTTAGAATATCTCATAAAGCATGGATTCTTATTGGTCCCACCCATAGGATGGTTTTATTTTGTTTTGTTTTTGTTTCTAATTTTTTGTGATTAATCGTTATACATATAAAGTGTTACGTAATTATTTGAATAGTTATCTTTTAAGTATTTTTTTAATGGAATTCTTTTTTAAGTACAATATATAGGGTGGAGATCGAATCCACAACATTCTTATTGGAAATATATGTCAATTTACTATTGAATCATGTTCACTTTGACATTAATCTTTAAGTATTAATAATATTAATTAATTAATTTTGATTATGCGGATCAATATGTAAATAACCTTTTTTTTATATAGTTCTTGATGATTTGTTATGACTTCTGTCAGAATAACTTCTCAGGGTATGCACAAGTTTTTTTTCTTTTTTATTTTTAAGAATTGGTTCAAGAATATGGTACATTGCTTGAGATACACTCAAATTAATGTGACATTGTATGATAAGATTAACATGAATTGGGCGATTATAAAAATTTTTAAAAAAATGTTCATTCTTTTTACAATTTGAACCGTATAATTATTGTGATGTTTTGTGTTGTTACGTAAAAAACACCGTATAATTTTAAGTGATTAAGTATTTATTTAACTATTTATTATGTTTAAAATTCAATTCAATCAAAGGATTGAAAGTGGACAACATTTGAAATCTTAGATAAGATAAAACTATCTTAGTTCGTCCTATTCGAGCTAAGCATCTGATAGCATACAAAAATCATTTCTAATTGTGTAACAGCCTTACGGAACGGTCTCTCATTGACTCCTATAAATACGTGCATTTGCAGGTAAGCGATTATATATGGAACTGGCCTTTTAAGTCGGGTTTTAGACTAGCCTGAGTGTTGGAACGCTTATTCTTTACGTGCAAGTCTTCTTGCACAATTCACTTCACTCAACCAGTTAGTTCGCTGTAGATTTATGACCCCACCAACATCAACAAAAACATTTAAAATTAAGTAACCAAATATCCAAATAAAAAATAAACAACGGAAAATACCCAAATTGAGCAAAAAGATCCAAGTAAACAAAGGTTCAACCTCAACCACAAAAATAGTCAAACTCTACTAAATTACATTATGAAGAAAAAAAAAATTCATACATGGTTAAAAAAGATCTATTATTTTGTATTGTTGCAATACAAAGAAAATGGAATAATTATTTGTGTAACATATATTTTTCAGATAAATTAAAATGTCTGAATGAAGTAATATTTAATTTTGTAAAAGAAGGGAGAGAAAAAGGATTAGTGGTATTATAGAAATGGAAGGTTGTTTTGGGGAAATGGGGGGAGCCTGAGAGGGATGCCGGTGGCGGTGGGGGCAGGGAGAGCTGGCGAAAGACGTACGACAGTTATGTGTGGGTCCCACCAAGAGTCGCGGAATATCAAGGCAAAATCGCCGATCTGTCGTTTAGGGCACCAAGGAGCGAACGACATGTCAATCTGGAGAGGGTAAAATCCAGTTGAGTTGACTCCACTTTCCCTCAACTCTCAAGTCTGACCATAAAGTAACCGCCATTGACATTGACCCATCATATTCATTATTCATTGTCACGCCCTTACATTTTCAACTAAAATCATAATCCACCACAACATCCACGCCTCTGTTCTTTGCATCATCTTCGACTTCTCCTTTGGTTTTGGTTCATCGCTAAATTTTGGTCTAGTGGAATTATTAAATTTGTACAGTTCTAATTCTCCGCCAACATGGTTCGACGAAATTACAAAATTATAAATTAATAGACATTTTGTTAATTTGGTGGCCAAATTTAGCCACACACCTAAATTTTCCTATCTTTTTTCTCTTCAATCTCTGAAATTAATTCGAGCAATTATTCAAGTCAAATCGTTTGATAGCCTTTAAAAGAACTAAAAGAATAGAGCTAGCCCAATGGATTCATCTTACAAAATGGGGCCCAAAGCACTCCCTATGGGCGACTCTGGCTCTCATGGTCTGTGCCAACGAACTTGATTCATGGTGCATGATCCGTGTGTTGGGCTCTTGCGAGGTTCGTGCCTAAGGATTCAACATTTTGGATCGCTCCAAAGCCCATGGGTCTAAGATGACCTAAACTGACTTTCTAAGCTTTGATGATTGTTCACAAATTAGACTTTACTTTATCCATAATAGTTTAATTACTTGATATTTTGTTCACTTCGATCTTCTGTATTTTAAATTCTAAATTTTTATCAAATTTAAGTTTTGTTCTTACCTTTAAATTGTCGTTGCAACAATTAATTAGATTTATTTTAGTATCAAGAAACAACAATATTATTTATAATAGAAGAGATAGATGTGGTAGTAAATGTGTTTGGTCGGTAAGGAGTGCAAGTAAAGTCTCACATTGGTTAATAAGAAAGGGGATGATTATCTTCATTTGTATAAGATATTTTGGGTGAAAACAAAAGTAAAACTATGAAGACGTTTATGTCCAAAGCGAACAATATCATACCATTGTAGAGATACTCGGGATACTTGGTCATTTTCTCATGGTGAAGTGAGATATCTTATTGTTTAACGAGGTAGAGTTTGAATACTAGTGTATCGTCTTCGAGTTAACGAGGTAGAGTTTGAGTATTAGTGTATCGTCTTCGAGTTAACGTGGTAGAGTTTGAGTATTAGTGTATCGTCTTTGAGTGATCTTTCCTCCGTTTATTATAAGAGATAAGAAATGTGTAATTGTTATAGTTGAAAGTTGTGATAATAGATCATATCTGCATAGTGTCACACGATTACTAAATGACGTGTCTGCCCATCACGATAATGTTTGTTAAATAGCCAGATTAGAGTCTTATTTGTTTAACCTTTTAGTATGTATCACACTTTAATTTTTGTGCTTTGTCCCTTTTCCTTGGTTTGTTATCTTTGCTGCCATGTGGTCTTTATGTAGTTTGTTTGTAAAGAACTGCATATTTAATGCAACCATCTTTTTGTGGCTTAAATCAATGTATACAAAAATGATGAGTTGTTCTTTTCTCCCATTCCCCCCTCCTTAGGGTTCATACTATTTCTAATATCAAAGTAGTAATATTACATATTGGGATGGTGTTATATTATAAGAGTATTTTTCTTGCACCAATCACTTAGATTTCTAATCTTACTATGCACATGATGAAGTGCACGTGTTTAATATTAGACTTAACTTGTCACAGAGCTCAACGACAAGTTAATGTTTATGGTTAAGGCATGTTGAGCTGGCCAAGTAAACAGTCTACCTGCATTATTATTTATAAATTAAGAAAATGTGGTAATAACGAAAATTTTAAACTACCACAGGAATCTCAGTTCGTTGTTAAATCAAACTCCCTCACACTACAATCAAATTAATCAACAGAGATCTCTGTTTACTCGGAGATGAAAGCCCCTATATCTTCGACATCAAAAATCGTCTGAGCTCCTTCGATTCAACCTCCCTAATGCATGCCCATCACGAACTCAACCATGCTGCCGATCATTTTACAAAAAAACATGGATGACTATATCACCAAACTCATGGATTTACTAATTTTACCTATTGACTACAAGTTGAGATTTCCAAATTTATCCCACGTAGTACCTTATTCCTAAACTCTTCAATAACATTTCCCTTTAAAAGGAAAAAAAAACGGAATTCTTAAAAATATGAAACTAAAGCAGGAGGAATTTCATAAACAAAATTCAAACTCCATCTTTATTTTTTTTTTCCTTTTCAATTAAAAAAGAACAAGCTTTTTATTCGAACAAAACAATGTTACTAGTAACAGTACTATTGGCTCAATATAATTTTCTACTATTTTGACCTCAAAACAAAATACAAAAAATAATTTACTTTTTCAGGGGTTACTTTTGTGTAACAAAATGGAATATTCAATACTTATGATTGTTCTTAAAAGTTAAAACAATTTCTCATTTACAATGATTTACCATAATTTAATTCCTTTTTTTCCATTTGTCCTATAATGTTGGTTGAGTAATTATTGAGGAATTAGAAGTGTCGTTTTATTTTGCCAAATAATTCAAACAATAAAGCATAATTTCCGAAGGTATATACGTGGCCAGGTAGTACCAAAATTATATCCCCCAAAAGGGAAAAAAGTGCGAGAGAGATTCTGACGAAACAAAATAATTAAAAGAAAAAAAAGAAAAGTAAAAAGTAAAAGAGAATTGATTGGCTGGCCCGCACGTGGACTCCAGACAACTGTAAAATTACATTGCCCCTGCGGATACGGTTGACCTGCAGCGACCTCCAGAGGGTTAAAATAGTTATTTTAATTTTTTAATCTTTGAATAATAATTACCTAACATATTTATTAACACGTAATCAATCATTTTTAGTTTTTAATTGATAATTAATCATTGTTTTTGTAATAATATATGTTTCGATAAAGTTTAGTCGTGGGAAAATTTTATATTTAAAGATAAGAGTTAAATTACCGTTATATTCTCACTGCTATGATAATAATTTAGAGTAGTTTGATAATATTTTTCATTGTTTATTTGGTATTTCTTGTTTCCAATTTTTAAGAATGGATGTATTTAGTAACTATTATTGTTTCTCGTTTTTCAC